ATGTCGTTTAAAATGCATAATTTATAGAGTGCGTTGCAGACGCCAACAGCACGTCTGTTTCCAGTGCACCTTCACAAAATGGACGCAATATTCCAGCTTACTAACTGTCATTTTCTTCATGGAGCATTTTAAAGCGGAAATCGGGTCTCCGCTTTCACTTGTATTTACTTCTTGTTTCACTCTGTCATAAGCATTTCATTATGCGTTTTGCATTATTTGTGCAAAAAAACTCGTTAATGGTGCGGTCATGCAAAGTGTATGTGTGTCCCACATAATTCATCTTTTAGTCAACAAAAGCCGGGGGAGGGTGGAGGAGTGATATATCGGGACTGTGTGCAGGGCTACGAACCTGGTACCAACTTGAATATTTTTATTCGTCTTGACCTGTGATCTCATGTCCTAATTTGGTCAATTTTTACAATTCAAAAACGAACCAAACCACAAACCAGAGCTTTTGCAAACTCAATCTTCAGTCGATGCAGGCTGGATAATTTAAAATCATCTTAATAAGCCCACATGTATTGAATGATGTTTCGACCGAACCGTTATCCTTTGTTCTTAACATTCTGAAGCTCAGTGCATACCTGTGGTGCCAAATCAAAATTAAGGCTAATTTTATATTCTTAGGGTAGGAACGGTAACAAATTGAGATTTTTACGGTCGTTGTTCACTTCTGACGTCGGGAAATAAAACCATTTTTTAAGTTCATCTATGCTCATGTCTCAAGCCTACATATTGTTCTGAGATTGTAGCTGCAAAATAAAGCAAATCACGAATCAGTAGTTTTGGCGCTTTTTCGTGTCACATTTCGTCTCAAAAAAAGCTTCCCCAATTTGGACTACGCCAGGCTTTTCCCAGCATGATGTCGCAGTACTACTTTTAATTTTATCACGCTGCTTTTGGTGCTATAGTTTCTTCCGAGCAAAGCGATTGCAAGAATTATAAATGTCGTTTTATTACTTTTTTTCCTCGTGCTTCTTGTTCGTTAATAGGTTCTTTGGCTTGGGCAGCATGAATTTATGATAAGTGCCTGTGAAAGATGGAGCTGACTTGGGGCAATTTTTGTAAACGTTTAGCCATTGCTTAATACTCAACTTCGCACCGCCTTTACAGTGGAAGGAAAGATCTAATCGCATTAACGTCTTCAGTTTTGCTCGAGCCAAAGGTCAGCCTTCTGAAGGCTTTAAAATTCATTTGAAGTACAAATTTGAACAGCTGTGTCTTTGTTCGCTAATAGAATCCCATAAGCGATTGAAATAGTGTATATAGGTGTACATAGCAACTCAGTATATCTGTCCACTGTTGTAATGATTTGGTTTAAGTTTTTTCATTTATGCAGATGAAAATGATTATGGCATGGTCATGTTATGGGTGCGTCCTCACAATTTAACTTCTCAGTATGCTAGCTGAAAGACTTT